TTCAAAACAGTTTGGCAGCTGAGCGCAGCGCTGAAGAAATTGCTTTTGAAGACTGCGTGCGAGTGCCAACCGCTACAGTTGGGCCACCGTGAAAGCAGCCACGGCCACGGCAGGCGACCGATGGCGTAGACACGTGGGCCACAAATGGAAAGTAATGAAGCACAAGCGCATGTGGTGAGTACCACATATGGGGCTGCAAGTACACACAAACAAACATACATTTAGCCGATTTTGGCATTTCTGAAGACGCTAGAAACAACAAGCAAACTTGCAACTGCATTTAGGTTGCATGTGTGTATGAGTGTGCGCAAAATGAAAATTGTGCGGAAATGCGCTTTCCACTGCCGATTTCGGTTATAAACAGATGGGCTAGAAAAATACGCAAGAACACATCTAAAACTGAGACAATATTCCCGGAATTTGCTCTGAAGTTTCGCCTCAGCAATATTGACAGCATTTCAGCTGATTTCTTAAAAGCTATTAGCACTGTGAGTACCGCTAATTTGCCGGTTCGCGCTTTTGTAATATAATAACACAATTTATGAAGAGTATTTAAATACGCACGCACACATGTACGTGGCGAAGAAGGCGTTTCAAAAATTATTGTTTAATATTCACCACACTTGAGGCGCACCAAAGCAGGCGCATAAGAAGCCAGCACTTCTGCCGCTTATGGTGAGGCATTTCCTTAACGGTGGAAAGCACCATAGCCAAAGCTACTGGTGGAGCGTCGAAAAATTGGCACGCGCCAAACTATTCTCTGCTGCACACACACGCAAAGAGCTCGCCCAGGCATTACGTGTATGTGTAATTAAAAGATGTGTGCGTGCGTGTGTTTTGGTCAACACTTTGGTTAGTACCTATCCAGAATTTCTACGACAAAATTGTGCTCGTAAATGTTGTGGTTTGCTTCCGTTGTTCCGTATTGACGCGTCCGTCCATAATTAAATGGTCATTGTTATTGACAATTTAAGCAAACGTTGCTTTGCAACACTGCCGCAGAAATTGATACTTTGTTTACTTAAGTGCCAAGTAACTTTGTACAGTAAGACAAAAAAGGAAATGAGCACAAGAGTGTGAGAGTATAAGCTAAGGTGTTGTTTGACCTATACAAATGGCTACATATGGCAGATACTAGCGTTCATGGGACTGATAGCGATACGAAATTGTAGTTTCGTTGTTGCTGACATATTGCTGACAGTCGTTCAACGCTTAAAATGCTGCATAAATAAGCCAGCGATGGAAGCAACTACCTTTTAGTCAATCCACCTCGGCAGAAGTACACAAAAGCCATAGAAGCTAAACAAACAGCGCTGCCAACTGTTACTACAAGCGTAAATTTACGGGCAATTAGTTGGCGATAAAAATACACACACATTCTCTTACATGCAAATGTTTATTAAATATCCATTGGCGGGCCACATTACCATATTGCTAGAAGCAACAAAGTAGTTTTCCCCTGTTGGCCATTTGCAATATTTGCACTTCGTATCCATGGAACTCATCGACAAATTGCCTATGATACTCGTAATTTAAGTCATGCTAACCATATTGTAGTCCAAAAATAGCTCCCAGTATCTGTATAAAAGTAATATCGCACTGTTATCTTTAGAACCGACCATTTAAGCAGCCATATTTTTGCCTTGACTTTCTGATATTTGTGCTAAGAGTAATAAAATTCTTGGCAAATTTGTTTGGTTTAACTAAAGTGGGTTTGAATTGCAAAATGCTTGCTTTAGCGTAAATTATCATACTTCCAGTTTTTGTTACAAACCTGCGTTATTTTGATTCGAACAATATACAGAGTTTTTCTAGAGACTAATTATTATAGATATATGAAATTTTTAATCCGTGTGAAAAAAGTAAATATTTCGTTAGTGGCTTCATCAACTGTTCTTAGTGCCAGCTCTCATGTCACTACCATGTAAGTTCTATCTATGTCTTTTTTTTGTTTTTTATTGCAAGGCGAAACATACATTTAGGGCTGCAACATTTCTAGATCAACTAGTTCTCTAATAATAAAAAAAAATCGTATGAGCCCCTAAAATCTCAGATCATTTAATTTTGCTTTCAAAAAGCTTTTCAGTTTATATGAGAAATATCTGCAAAAGTATCTCTGTAACAACTTCAAGGTTTCTTCTGCCAAAAAAGCATAAATTAAACGGCTTAAAGCAGGTCCTAAACCTCAAAAGCTTTTTGGGGATTGTACTCATATTTCGGACAACTATCTGTTCAAAATTCTATGGAAATATCTCGTCAAATTTAAAAGTTTTCGGTAAAAGACATGATTTGATCGTCAGTGTAAGGCAGCTAAAGCCTAAAGTGGTCCGATACCGGCAATTGCGACAAATAAGCAGCTTATTGGGAGGAAGTATGTGAAAAATTACAGATTAGTTCTCAAAAAATGAGCGTCTAGTATGCGTATATACAGACGGACCGATAAATGGGCATGGCTGAATCGACCGAGCTCACCATACTTATCATTTATACAAATATGTGCTCACTTTAAATGATTTTGACGTTTTGTTCCGGCTGTTACAAACATCGTGACGAACTTAATACACTCTGTTTAGAGTAAATATAATTATTGTCGCATGCCCGAATCCATCAATAGGTGAGAAAAAATCATTTGTTTCATATGTTGCTCCTAATCTTCTTCTTCTTTAATGGCGTAGACACGGCTTACGCGAGCCAAGTTTACCCCTAATTAGGTTAAAATAATTTTTGCGTGCCACTCCTCTTACTTTTTGCGTTTGTTCTGGTTGCGTCAACCATATCGCACACACTTCTAATTTTAGAATTATTTACAGTGTCACCTACAGGAAATTTCCCGTCGAATAAAGCACAGTTGGCCATAAATAATCCTACGACATTCTTTCAAATCGATTTTGTCGTGCCGCAAGTGATGTCTTCCCATGTTCTTTATGTTTCTTTTGCCTGTTAGTAATTACCATTAAATCATTTGAAGCATTTAAATGACCAATTAATGAAAATAAACTGAGCATATTTTAATTTATACCCATGGAACACACCAGTTGCTGGCTTTTCATTTATAATTTATTTGCCTGCTTTGCGTTAGTTATGCACATGTTCTTAGGTAAATTAAGTCCAAACCTTGTGTTGTTTTTAGTTTTGTGGGTATTAAGAGCTTCATTGAAATTTCGCGCATGCGCCCGCAACTGCTTCCTACATGTCAGCGCGGCTCGACCGGGTCTTGAGCGGCCGCGCCTTAACCTGCCACAACAACACTGACTGCTAACGGGCGACGAACGATCGGCGATCAGCGATCAGCTATTCTCGGCCAACGACAAATGCGCTCAATCATTTTCACTGCTGTCAAAGTCAAACAAATAACATTCAAACAACAACACCAACACCCGCATACATGTGCGTGTGTGTGTGTGTTTATGAAGTAAGAAATTGTTATGTGTTCGTGTTGATTTGCGGCAGCAGCTGCAAATACAATAAATTCAAATATTGCCGCCAGCCGAGTTACTCCTTTTTCCGCTATCTGCTAGGTGAAAAATGCGCCGACGAGTGTATGTGTGTGCAAACTTATGTATATGTTTGCCGCCACCTATGAATGTGTATGTGCACTGGCAGTTAATTTATTTGTTGTTGCTAATTTTATTGATTTCACTTTGCATAAATAGCTGTAACAAAATGCGTTCACTGGCGCCTACAACATCAGCGACCGCGAGCGGGTTGTTCCTGCTGTCGCTCTGCCCGCGTGTTGACGATATTTGTTCTGCGATTTTAGTATGCAGAAGCGCGGCTGTGTATCTCAATCGAACGGCAATTGCTTAAATTGTTTGCGCATAAAATTTCAATAAAACACTTCAGTGGAGCGGCTGTGCGCAAAGGCTTGTCTGTGACGACACCGACTTGGCGATCGGTCGCTGAGGATCAGTGCCAATTTTGCTTATGGTGATAGTATTGCGGTGTACATCAATTATAGATAGTTCTTAAGTTGTTGTTGAAGGACGCAATAATGAGTTTTTAAGGTTCAGAGAGTAACCAAGTAAACCTTCAGAAACAAAATAATAGTTAGAAATGATCAAGCGAACCTAAAAGCTCTTCTAATAGTACGAAATTTCCTTGTGGGTGTATATTTTTAGCTAGAAAGTAATGCTATTAAAGCCAATCTTAAATTGGAGTAGAACAACATAGATTTTGGCGCACATTTTACTGAAAAAAGTTGAAGAAGATAACTGTACTGAAGATAACGAACTGTAGTTTTAGATTTGTCGATAAATAATTAATATTTTAGGATTTCATAAAACTTAATTGCTTTTATTTAAGTTCACTTCTTATTTTAAGATAATTTCTTAATCCCATAACCTAAACACAGTTGACAACGAAATCTTGAGTGCGATTTTATCTGTTTGTTTTAGAAAATCCTTGCTTTATAAATGGCCGAAAGAGTACGTATATATATACGGATTTGAGTCATATGTGGACAAGATTCGCTTACAAGGAAGAGTTTCTCTCTCCAATGACATTCCTTTAGGGATTAGTGGAAGATCCACTTACCTCTTGCGATCTGCCACAAGACAGATTTCGTGAGTTCGTTAGCGCTAATCAAGAGACAGCACCAGTACGGTAGCAAAATACTTCTTAGCTGCGTTCATTACAAATTTCAATTGAAACACTCGCTTTCAACTGAATTACAGTGAGATGTATTTTTGACCAACTGGAGGTGTTTTATAGGTAATTGGCCGAAGTTGATATGTTATAAAGCGCTTTGTGAATATCTAGGTAAGAGTCTTTAGTCGCAATAGCTGCGTGCCAATTTACACAAAAGTTTTTCTTATTCTTATTCTTTTTCTTTTTACTTATTAAATATATTATATACATTTGTTGCTTTGTACTATATATATCTAGATCTGTAAGTTTCCTATAATTCACTTTTAGCTCACAAAATATACATGATACGTAAATAGCAATTTTGGCCTAAAATTAATAATTCAACAGCAAATAAAGTAGAGTATCTCACTCACCTCTTCGTCGATGTAAACCGCGATATTTGTTAGGCGATAAGACGGGCGGTCGTGGGGCCATCATATTCGGCACCTCATCCGGTATGGTGACTCCCGTGCTCTTGTGGTGATGACGTTCGCTCGCCTGCCGCCAATTGCCGAAGGAGTGACGACGTGCATTGCTGTTCGGCAGAGTGTGATGATGTTTGCTGTGATTTTCGTGTGGGTGCACGAGGAGAAAAGCAATAAGAATCGGTTATTAAAAGGCATGAGTAGAAGTTAAGCAGATGAAGAAAAAGATGAAAACCGTATGCACGATTAGCAAATTAATCCCAAATGTCAACAGCTGCATTCATCACAGTTGTCAACCACTCATCAGCTAGCAATACATAAACACTTGTGTGCATAAAGGGCCAAGTGTACGGCCGGTGTACTCACCTTGAGGGCGACATGCAAAAGACATCATCAAAGTCACTGCCTGCACCACCGCCTCCGCCACCAAGTCCGCACGTCGAGGCATTAGACTCGTTGTAGGAGCCCAGCCGTTCGCGGAACGTCTCCGAGTGTGAGTTCGACGAACGCTGACGATACATCAATGGCTGCATTTCAAAAGATTGCTACATAAGTACACACCCGATGTTTATAAATTCATATGTGCATAGGTATGTGTGTGTGAATGGTGCACCCGGTCAAACGCAAAATTGTCAAGATGCAATAGATGAATGCGAAAAATACAAACAAACAGATGGCGAATGATGTTAGAAAAACAAACTATAAAGTCGTAAGGCAACACTGCTGCCTGTTATTGACATTTTATGATTTGTAAACAGTTTTCCGGTTCTATGAGTTATATGTACATATGTAAATATCATCAACTAACGGAACTTCATTAAACCTCTTCTTTATCGTTCATTTGCTGCCATAACTTACTTGTGAGAAGCCGCCCAGAGAGCCGAAACTGCCGCGCGGACTGCCTAACGCCATTGTAGCTGCCGAGTCGAGATTCGCCGAAGTGATTAGCCGCGTTTGTTCCGGTATGATGACACGCGGACTGCTGCCTTTCGAATTGCGGCGCTTGAATATGGAAAACGTCTTATTGGAGCTCTGCGAGTCCGGCGTGCGCGGCGACTTGCTGTCATTGTAGAAGTAATATGGGTTATCTGTAAAGGAACGGAAATATATAAGACAACACCAACAATGTGAACATTTTATAGAAAATAATATAAAGGAAATTTTGCATGAAAATTGCAGAATATCAAAAGGTTTGTGCTTATGCCATTTTTATACTAAGATCATTCACTATTTACAAACTATACATTTACGTTTATTTTGCTTTTGAGTAGTTATCGTTTCAAATATTAAATTTCAGTGTTTAGATTGTTGTATTTGTACCTGCATTTCACGATAACCAGTTATACATTTTTAGCATAATTTAGCAAATATTTTCCCGATTAATCAATTACGTACTCGATGTGTTTCAGATTTGTTATCTTGCTGGATTTTATTTCTAAACGAATAAAGATCTATCTGTATATTATAGTAAATAAATATATCTTCCTTTAAACTTAAAGCAGTTTGTATACTCTGAACAGGGTATATTAGACTTTCACCATAGCATATATGTATGTATATATGTATATAAATGAACAGCATGACGATCTGAGTCGATTTATCCATGTCCGCCTGTCTGTATGTACGCAAACTAATCCTTCAGTGTTTGAGCTATCTTTCTGAAAGTTTGCGCCCGTGCTTTTCTACCCAAAAACTACACTTTTTTCGGAATGGCCGATAACGCGAGACTATAGGATATAGCTGAAAGTCCGAACCGCAGATAAAGGATGACTATAGCATATGGCTAACATACTATGTAAACGATCAGGTACTTATACGGAAAACTTTTTTGTTTTGATCCTTATAAACACTATTTTGAGCGTGTTGCATATAAACTGAATTTATTCCCGTTAAGTTTTTAATTTCAACTAGAATATAACACTGTAGCGACAGGCTTTATAAAAACTATGAAAGCAACTCTCGATCAGTCAAAGTTGTTTAAAGTAATCAAATTTATATATCAGCATATTAACCCGGCGACAATGACGCTGGGTCATAATGACCGAAAAATTCGATATACATATGTATGTTTACTTATAACATTTGTACTTTAGTTTGTACTACATATTATATTATAGAGAACAAAATTAAACACTAACACATGACAAAAATAGCGTGTCTATCCAATCACTAAAGTTAACATTTATGGTTTAAATCATTAACATTAAAGGTTAAACAATAAAAGTTTGATTATCTCTCTTTTCATATTGATAATTGTCTTTATTAAGTTGTTTTTGTCCTCTAATGACATAAAAACTCAGTGAATAATGAAACTTAATACCAATAATCAATGTTCATAGTTTGTCTCCAAATAAAAAAATCATGGAAAGCTTGTAATAAAAGTGCAAAATTAATGAGCAATGCCTTTGTGGACAATACTTTTGAAGACCTGAATATATACATCATGTATATATTATACAACAATAACACAAAAACTTAGAAATTCGAATCGGTACTAAAATTAACAAAAAATATTGCTGAGATTACTAGATTTAACATTACTTAAACTAAATCTGTTTGGTTGTTTAATTTCATGGGATTCAGTTCAGAGATATAGTAGTCATCGCAAAACTTCTTTTTTGAGAGGAGTTCTCGGAGATTAGATGTAGTTCCTTTCCAATTTTTACTAATACCAAGGCTTAAAACTCAACTAAAAGATACCAAATTGTCAGTACAAATTTTTCAATCAATAAATTTAAAAAAAAAGAAAATTTTCTTTTTTCCAGAACCTGTATAAATATAACCCTTAATAAGCCTAGGGCAGTCTATGCATACAATATAGTTATAAATATTTTGAGAACAAATTTGCAATCAGAAGAGTACCTGAGAAAAAAGCGTTGGTTTGATCCAAAGCGATAAACATTTTGCCGAACTTTGATTTTGCGGCTTTCTCAAATTAAAATCCAAATAAAGTTAAGTGCAATACTTATTACTGTTTTACCACTGGCATTGATTTCTCTCGTATATTTCAAACTGGCACTAACATACTCTTTTGGTTTTGACACACATTGCGTTCTTCGATTTTGCCCTTATAAACACTTGAACACTTTTCACTTCACTTAATACGGCTGAAAGTCATTTGAAACAACTGTTTTTGGTTACTTTTGAATTTGCATTTGAACTGGTGTAAGGGTTTCGGAACTTGCTTTTAGCTTTGTTTATGCCCGGAAAGTAAACTTCAAACCTGTTGTAATTTATGGCTTTGAGAGAAGCGCGCGCTTTTTCCACACTTAACAACAAACATATAAACAAATGTTGTTGCCCTTCCAAACAACAACACAATATTAATAAATGTACATTTGTGATAGCGCTTCGTGAAAGCTTCACTTCGACTATTCGCTCAGGAGAGGATGAGCGTGGCAAACGATATGACCGACGATTGCCGATTGAACGCTTACAAAGAAAAGAACAAAAAGTCCGCACAACATAACTGAGTTATTATTCAAGTACAGAGTGAATGATTTGAATTGGTAGTCGTCGCCGTCGATTGCGCTGTTGCATGCTACTGCACTGACATCCCGAAACGGAATAAACAAATTCGAAAACTTCAATTCTGCAGACGCGTGTGCCGGCGGCGCACAATTGCCTCTTGAGTTGGAGCAGCGCGGTCGCGTTAGCGCTAGTAGCGCAGCGCGTCAGTTTTCCGCTGCCACGCACAAATAAATATGTTGCTGCCTGGCAGAATGTCTGCGCACATTGTGAATCCCCCATGTTTTACTGCATATGCTTTGTTGACTTCTTCTGCTGCTACTCCGCGAGTTGATTCTTTTCAATGCTTTAATTCTACGCCCGCAACAACAACAGCAGTATTGTGACTTCTTGTTCGTTTTTAGTGCCGCATAGCTCGCTTAACGATGGAAATCACAGAATAGCAACAACAAACATGCATGCATTATGTAGACGCGCTGCTCTCGCTCGATCGCATACGCACTCGGGGCGCGCACACTCAGCGCGGCACATGCGCGATCACTGGGCTCGCACAAATGCTCGTCTGGCAAACACATTGCACCCACTTAGACGGCTCGAGCATAGCAGCGCGGCGCAGCCAGTGCCCAGCCGCGTAGCGCAACGCACTTGAGTGCTAGTGTGTATGTGTGTGTTTTGTGACGCTGTGTTGGTGGAAAACTCAGGGCAACAGCACAGACGGACAATTTTCCGAAGTGTTTGCATTATTGCGCATCTTTGTATGTGTGTGTGTGTGTTCATATGCTTTGACTTCTTCCTGCACACAGGGTCAGTTTTGATACCTGCAACATATGTAAATGTGTGAGTGATCGTGCTTTGTTTGTGTCCACTCAAGATTTTCCGCAGTGTCGATCGATGTTTTTCCTTGATAGCTTCACCGTGTGCATATCTGATTAGGCCACTCGAATGTGCAAATGATTGGTAAATATACGCACGTGCGTCTGTGTACCTTTGTTGGTACACCTACACTTAGCGTGTTCTCTGTTCACCCATTTGACAATGAGTTTTCCTGTTCGTGCAACAATAGTGTTGTAGACCGTGTGCGCCTTTTGTGTACTCTCCTGATGCTCGCTGCATTGCTGATTAGATTGTTTAAACATCTACTTACTACTTCGCCGTTATTCCTTTACATAATTTTGGTTTCGAAATAAGTTTTTTGATTTCGCAGTGTGGGAATTGTTTGATAATATACATATGTAACTGGCGGTTTGCCTTAAATTCACTTTTTTTATACTCTCGAAACAAAGTTGCTAAAGAGAGTATTATAGTTTTGTTCACATAACGGTTGTTTGTAAGTCCTAAAACTAAAAAAAAAAACTGTAACTTGAGTAAAAATTGAGATATCATGATGAAACTTGGTACACATATTTCCTGGCTCCATAAGAAGGTTAAGTTCGTAGATGGGCAAAATCGGCCCACTGCCACGCCCACAAAATGGCGAAAACCGAAAACCTATAAAGTGTCATAACCAAGCCATAAATAAAGATATTAAAATGAAATTTGGCACGAAGGATCGCATTAGGGAGGGACATATTTGGACGTAATTTTTTTTGGAAAAGAGGGCGTGGCCCCGGCCCCTACTAACTTTTTTGTACATATCTCAAAAACTGCTATAGCAATGACAACCAAACTCTACAGAGTTATTTCATTCAGGCATTTCCATATACAGTTCAAAAATGGAAGAAATCGGATATTAACCATGCCCACCTCCCATACAAAGGTTATGTTGAAAATCACTAAAAGTGCGTTAACCGACTAACAAAAAACGTCAGAAACACTAAATTTTACGGAAGAAATATGAGAAAGAAGCTGCACCCAGACTTTCTTTAAAAATTTAAAATGGGCGTGGCGTCGCCCACTTGACCGATTTCAATGAAACTCGGTACATAATAATTTCTTAACACCCTGATGACATGTACGAAATATGGGTGAACTCGGTTCACAACCACGCCTTCTTCCAATATAGCGCCTGTCTCTTATACACATCTAGATGTGTATAAGAGACAGGTATAATATATAAAAGATATATATATGATAGCGGAATAAAACTTTACATAAATACGGTATTTGATGCGAGAGTATAAAATGTTCGGTGACACCCGAATTTAGCCCTTCCTTACTTGTTTATTGGAGATTTTACGAAAATTAATCTGGATCAAAATAAACCAGTATTATTTCTTACCAACTTTTATACTGAAAAAACTGTTAAATATAATCGGTTTTATTTTTAAAGATGACTTTTTGAGGATTTAACGGCGTCTCTGCAAATAGCTCGTGGATTATCATTACTCCACTTCTGACAATTTTTGTATATTAGATTTCAAAAAGACCAAAGTAGAGAATATTACCCATTTTCGAATTAAAACCATACGAAGAGTTAAATACATGAAAGACGAATACATTAGAAATAATTCACCAATGTTAAATGGGTGATCCAAGCAGAGGTACTTTTTTCAATAGCGTTTTTTGTCAGATCACTCGTTATTGTGTTGTTATTCTTTTAAACATGGAAATACTTACGCCTGAACAAAATGCACTTTCTGTAAAGAATGTGTTTGGCGCGCTTTGCTCAACTTATGGTCAA